ATTCACAACTCAGTGCCCCAAGAAACTCTCAGACTATATGGATCAGAACAGTTGGTAACCTGGGTTGTTGGTGTTCTTATACTAGTGAAATTACAAATCTGGACACCTCACCCCATGTAATCACCAATAAACCCAACAAATTCCTGTCTTACCATATGCCACCCAATCTATCCTACCCTGTTGTTATAAGGTTTAAACTAGACAAGGGCTGTAAAAGGACTCTGTAAATCTCAGAGGGTTGCTTAAAACTAAGGCATTAGGGAGTGGGCTTGTGGCAATTGGCATAAAGGAAAGAGATGGAGGTGGAAATGAACAAGGAACTAAGGGATGGACACAGGGACTCTAGCCATGGAGGAATATGTGCAGTGGGACAGAGAGAGAGGATACCAATTATTGGGCTCAGAGAGTGTATCCATTATGAGGGACAGCAGAGGTGGGGTTGGGGTCTGGGGCTCAGAGGTGGGGGAATGATTTTTGTACTCTTCCATAAAATTCTTCCTGGGGTTCCATACCCATCCTTTGCCTTCTACCTTCATACCCACTCCCCATTCCTATTTCTCCTCATGGCCCACTGTCTGTCCTAGAAATTCATTCAACTGCCCCTTAAACCTCCAGGTTTCCTCTTCCTTCCTACCCTGCTTGAGCATCCCACCCAAATCATGCAGCTCAGGCATTGTGCCCAGTAGAACCTTGCCTGCTACTCCATTATGTCCCTTCCCTCCTCCACTCCCAGCAGTCTGGCTTGAAGTGAGGAGACAGCCAGGGGACATTCTCCCAGAGGACACTCCTCTTCCTTCTGCTCCCCATGAATTTGGACTGCTGCCTTGCTAAAACCTTGTCCTCCCTGGGCACTGACAATTCCCTGAGTCCCCTCCTTGTGCTTTCCTCCTGCTTTCCCCATCCTCCTGTTCTTCCGATCTTGCCCACTCTCCCCCAGTTCTGCACTTCTTCCTGGATGGGCGCTGGGGTTCTAGCAGAGAGCGATTGGCCATCAGCAAGGACCAGCGGGCAGTGCGCAGCATACCAGGGGTGCCTCTGCTCCTGGCGGCAGAGCGACTGTTGACAGGCTGCCATCTGAGTGTGGACATCGTCCTGGGGGATGTGGCTGTGACCCAGGGCCGCAGCTACTGGGCCTGTGCTGTAGATCCAGCCTCCTACCTGGTCAAAGTGGGTGTTGGACTAGAAAGCAAACTGCAGGAGAATTTCCAGGGTGCCCCGGATGTGGTCAGCCCCAGGTCAGTCCACAAAAGGGGATGGGAATGGGAATGGGTGAGAGGGAGCACAGGGGCCCAGAAGGGCTAGAGAGGAGCAGATAAGGAGATTGAGCAGTTTGGCACCATAGGAATGTAGAAACCCAGGCCTTGGGGGTGGTGAGAGGGTACAAGGCTGAGGCAACAGGCTAAGGAATGTCTGGAATGGGACAAGTATAAAGGGAAGGGGGCCTGGGCTCAAATCTTGGCTCCACTGGGGGAAGTTTCTTCAGCTATAAAATGAGGGAGGGACTTGGGCTAGATGCTTTCTAAGGTCCCTTCCAGTTATAGATCCTATGATCCTTTGGGGAGGGGGGAAGGGGAGACAGGAAGGAGGGGAACATAGGAGGTAATGATGGGGATGGAAAGGGGAGAAGCATGGTCCATCCCTGATCCTGTCCTGAGCCTTTGCTTTGGATCCTTCCCCAGGTACGATCCAGACAGTGGGCATGACAGTGGGGCAGAAGATGCCACTGTGGAGGCATCTCCACCTTTCGCCTTCCTGACCATTGGCATGGGCAAGATCCTGCTGGGAGCTGGTGGTAGTGGGGGGGCAGGCCTGACAGGGCGAGATGGGCCTGGGGCTGGCTGCACGGTTCCCCTGCCTCCCCGCCTGGGCATCTGCCTGGACTATGAGCGGGGCCGGGTCTCCTTCCTTGATGCCGTGTCTTTCCGTGGGCTGCTAGAGTGCCCGCTGGACTGTTCAGGGCCGGTATGTCCAGCCTTTTGCTTTATTGGGGGTGGCGCGGTCCAACTGCAAGAGCCAGTGGGTATCAAGCCTGAGAGGAAAGTCACGATTGGCGGCTTCTCCAAGCTGGATTGAGCCCCACAGACACGGTGGGTGCTGTGGGTCCTGTTCTCCTGGATTTTCTCGGAGCCACACCATGAGCCCTAAGCCCTGGCCAAGGCTCCCACAGAGCTGGGCATCTCCCCTGGCCCCCATCCTTAGGATCTTTTCTTGCCCATCCCCTCTTAGTTCATCCTTATCCCTTGACCGATTCCTGCCGGTTCCTCCCTGGTACTGCCCCCTGTAACCCTTCCATGTAGGGCTTCGTCTTGATCCCTCTACTCTCCCTGGGTTGGGGATGTCCTCTTTCATTCCTAGGCACTGGGGCTGCCCTCTACTTTTTTCCAGTTATCTCCTGGCCTAGGCATAGGATCTATTGAGTTTACACATCCCAGGAAAAACTCACATTTTCTTGTCCATCCTGTCTGGGCATCTTACTCAAGTCACCCAGAATGGGCACTGTGCCTACTATATCCTCCTCTCACTGCTGTACCCTGATTTTCTCAGTCTGGCTTAGAGTAAGGGGTATAGGTCTGGGGGCAACTTCCCAATGAAGACAACCCACCCACCCCCAATTTCTCACTGATGCCCTGCTAACTTCCCTACCCCATGGACACTGTCCTCCCCACCATAAACTTGAGGTTGGTAAGACCTACTCTAGTCTGGCAGGGCCCAGGTACTCTATCCCAGGGGACCACAGGTAGGTGCCCACTGGCAGAGAGGAGCTGGGGCCCCTTTCTGTCATGCTTGTTTTATTGGGGGTATCCCAGTCTCCCCAGCTGCATGTCCTCTTCTCTCTTTTCCCTCTGCATGTTTTGTCCTCCCCATTCCCCAATGCCAGTGTGCCAAGTCTTCCCAGGGGCCCTGGTGGGCAGGGCCCAGTACCCCATGGCAGACTAGGCTGGGCAACATCTCTCATGCCCATCCTTTGCTCCCTGTGGGTGGGCAATGCTCTGGTCTTTGCCAATGGCTGTTATTTTCACAGTTTCTAACAATAAAGGGTGATGCCAGACACAACCCAGGCCTAGCCATTCCTTTAAAAACCCCATTCCCACAGTCATAGTGATGGAAATAATGATTTTCATGTCAGAGTCATGGGAAGCTGGATGACCACTGGGCCTAGTGCCCAAGGGAAGGGGTTTCACTCTACTAGATTTCCCCAAGGTGAGGAGAAGAGACCTGTCCACAATATCATGATACTCAGAAGCTTAGGGAGTGACAAACACACACAGCACCTATACCCATGTAACTATCACCCATATACATTCAGATACACATAGCATGTACAACAAGGACATGTAAGAGTACCTGTGCCCATCCACACTCAATACATATATACACAATGCAAACTCAGCATACATCACACACAGCACATTCAAATGCAAACCTTACACACGGTCCATATTTACCCACACAAATAGAGCCATGCAACCGATAAGCCACCAGAGAGCGCCATCACTCAAAATGGAGACATCTCTGGGATGGGATGCCAGCAGAGGCCGCACTACCCCAGCTGCAGGGCATCCAGGACTGGACAGGGAGTGGCACCTAAGCCTTATCCGCCCAACAGTTGGGGGATATAGCTAAGGAGGCAGAGGCAGGGGGTGGTCCATCAACCAAGATGGCATTAATGCACAGGAGCCACTCCTCCATTCCCAAGTAGTTGAGACAAAGAGGGAGGGAGGGAAAGGATGGACCTCAAACCACCACAAATGGGGGGGGGGGACGAAGACCCTGACAAGGCAAGGAGGGACTAATTAGGGAACTGGCCTTGAAAGTGGAGGGAACTGGTACCATGCCAGCGCCCGGATCTAACACGGCCCCTTTTATCGAAGCTCTGTTGACTCTGCTACTGTTATCACTGCTCTGGGATTTACTTAACACCAAGCCAGCTAAGAATAGAGCTGCCCCCTGGCACTGTGCCAGGGGGGAAGCAGGGAACCAAAGACTACGCCTGCCTTGGTGTGAGAAGAAACCCCCATCTGGGTTGAGCCAACAAGACCAAATACATCTAGGGCTGAGAGGAGGGAGGGAAGAGGTGAAGGGAGGGTGTTAGGCAAGGTTGCTCCTTCTGACACAGAGCTTGGCTCTCAGTTTCGTTTCCTCCTTCCTTCTGGGAATCATCAAAAATGGGGTAAGAGGCAAGACTTCTGACACCTCCAAGTAGTCTTAGATATTATTGCCAATCTCATAAAGCACCTCATTCGCCCAACTCGACATCCCCCCGCCCCCTGCCAAAGCTAATCAGTGCTTTTGGAATATAGAACACAGAAAGTTAGACTTGAAATGGACCTTAAGAGACTGTCTAGCTGAACTTGCTTGTTTTATAGATGAGGTAACTAATGCACAAGGAAGGGGGTCAGTGACTCAGGTCAAATAGTGGGAAAATCTAGGGGCAGATCAAGGAGCCACCCACCCCATTGACTCATGTCCTTTGGTAATACACACACTCACACCAAACATCTCTTTTTCCCCACTCCAAAGCCCCTGACTCCCTCCCACAGCACATCCTCCATGTTCATTCCCTTCTTATGGTCTCTTTAGCTTTCACCTCTAAGTTCCTTATTGACCTTCAAGTAGGTCACCTTTGGCTTGTATCCCCCCCACCCAAGACATTTGTTTCCCTCCTAATACTGCCCCCAGATTCCCCACAAGGATCCTGCTCCCTCCCCTCAAACACTCCTACTCACTGTCAGTGGGTAGGAGAAATCTTTTAAACGTTCATACCTTCACTTTCTTCATCTGTAAAGTGGAGGATGGAGCTAGATGATCTAGTTTCCAGATTGTCTCTTCTCCAGAGACATCAGCATGCTTACCTTGGTCCTTAACTTCCCACTATCAAGGCTTCTCCCCTCCCTTCCCAACCCTTCCCCGCTAAAGCGGTAATACCCCAAGCCCACTGGGAACTCTGAGGCGTAAGGGTAGTTAGAGAGTGAGCTAGGTCCAGAGGAAGGAAGGCTAGATAAGAGGTTCGAAGATGTTCTGTATTTGTGGGGGTCATCGATTTTATTGAGTCACATACAGATTCCTTTTCCCCCACCCCTAACCCATCCTGGTTTCATCATCCGCCAAAAGGCAGGGCATGAGGGTAAGATAGCAGCACACAGTCTCATACAACTTCATCTGGAGATGGATGGGGGGGGAGCATCTAAGGAGCCTTCAGAGAAGGGACCTTTGGGACACTACCCACTCAGGGCTCCTTGCTTTCCCTTCCGGGAATGGGAGAGGTGGAGACCAAGAAATGGGGGAAGTGCCCCTGGCAGTGCTTGGCCCCGAGCACAGAGCTGGCACCGTCCCTCTACAGGTTAGCAGAAGTGGCCACCGGGTTCACATAAGAGAGGCTGTTGCCACCATTTCCTGGAGAGATCTGGGAAGGGGGAGGGAATATGGGCGTTTTAAATTTTTTTAAGGGGTGCAGAGGAGAGGTGTTGGGGAAGGACATAATGCCCCCTGGATCCCCCTTGGTGGTGAAGCTCTGGGATGAGGGCAGCAGGGTCCCCTCCCCACTCCCCTACAGGGTTAACACAGCAGAAGCACCTGCCTGGGGCCCGGCAACAACCCAATGCGACTGTAAACAGTGTTTTTCCCTCCCCCTTCCCTCTACTCAGCCCCTTCCTTAGCTCCTAGCCTTAGTCTTCCCACCCACCCCCACCTTCTTATCTCAAGCTCCCTTAATTCTCTCCACCCCGAAGAGGGGGACAAGACAAAGAGCTGGAAGTCAGGGAGTGGGGCACATAACTAGGAGGGGATAGGGAAAGATTCTCCCTTCCCCCACCAAAAGTTTTAGACCAAGGTAGAGAGTGGTAATTATTTACCCAGTGGCTGGAGCCCAATGGAGGGAAGGGGAGGAAGGAGGGGGGGGATGGGGAAAATCTGCCTCTGGGCCTTCTGGGAATTGCCCTCCCCACTTCCATCTAACCCCTCTCTGGATTTACTGCCTTCCCACCAAAAACAAAAGAAAGAAAAAACAAAAATAAAAATAAAAACAAAATGTTTGCCCCTCTCCCCTAAGAATTTGCCAATTCACTATTCCCAGTACCATCCCTGTAGCCTTAGAGGGACTCGTACCTTCCTCCCAGGCACCAGGCACCACCCACTCTGCCCTCTGGGCACCCAGGCAGTTGCTTATATTGGCGCCAACTCTACTGAGCTGTGAAAGTGCTGGTGCAGGCACCATGGGCACCCAGTGTCCCTGGCACCCTCCCGAGGGAATGAAGTGTAAGGGCGGTGGTCACTGGCTCCCTGAATTCTCTTCCTCCATGCTTCCCGTACCATCCACCCCCAGGCCACCTAGGCCCCTTTTCAGTCCCTCAGCACCACCCTTCCAGCACTCTATATCCATCAGTGTCTGTGCTCCTGTGTCCTACACAGTGTCCAGTCCTCTACATATCTCTTTGAAACCCTTCAGATCCTTTCAGTACATTATGATGTCTGTTCTCTTCCATGCCCATTCTACACTGAATATTTCCTGTGTCCCTTTTATCCTTTCTTAGGTTCCAGCCACACTCGCCTTCCTAGTGCCCACTAGGCATAGCCTCACCTCTTCATAAGGGCTGCGCTTCATGTTGCCTGGGGGCACATATCGTCCATGGGTATGATAAGGGGGGTACTCATTCATGGGATGGTAAGAATCTTGGGATGGAAAGATGTCCAGCTGTCCACAATGTTTCCGACGGAACTGAGATAGTCCCTGGGAGTGGTGGAGATGAAGGCAAAGGGGCACAGTGGGTAATAGTTAGGAAATCAAGATGGGGGGAAGACCCAAATATCTGAGCTGGGCAAAGCACTTACCAGGGCAGCAAGGTGGAAAATTGCCAAAGCGAGCAGGATACAGACTATCACAAGCAAAGCAATGGCATAGCCTGGCACAGCAGCATCAGTAGATGTGGCTTCAGAATTCCACTCACGGACTAGAAGAGAGAGGAATCTCCCAGGATGCCTTGTCCCAATCTTCTTTAAGTCCCCTGCTTCCCTCCCACAAATGGGGAATGTGTGCCTGGGAGACTGTGTACTTAGGTCCAAGGAAACCCATGAGTGTGGGGCAAAAGAATCTGGAAATATGGATTCCTGGCTCTGGGTCAGACTTTCTGAGGGAATGCTCCAAATTCCCAGAGAGTGCCTGGGTAGTGACCCTGGCAGAGGGGTGGAGGGATGGCGGGACCTTACCAATTATATCGGATGGTGAAATAGTCAGGTTGTATATGTAACTTTCTTTCACATTTTCAGCAAACAGATTCTGTACTTCATTGGTTGTGATGCTGCCCTCTTGGAAGACCAAGATACAGTCTGCAATCACAGAGCCCTTTCTGGGCACAGGGAGATTGGCACCTAAGTCCTATAGGTTCCAGCTCCTGGTTCAAAATACTTTTCCCTCCTCCTGGAATTGGTACTCTTTCCCATATCCAAGCTGGTGACCCCCCCTCCCCCATACCACCTACAGATTGGTACCTGAATTGGAGTATGTAAAAGGTCACAAATGCATTGTTTTTGTAAGTCTGCTGCAACTGGGGAAAGAGAGGAAGGGAGAAATATAACCAGAATGCCAGAGGAATAAATGGCAATTTGGGGGTTAGGGAAACAGTCTTCCCAACCTATAGGGAAGAGGATAGTACTTACCAGATCATTAATAGAATTCTTCAAGTCTTGATAGTAGGAAGAACTGGGATTGTCCAGGGAAGAGTTAAAATTCTTATTGAGGATGTGGAATGAGAGGAAAAACATGGCACTCTCATAAATGACAACTGGGAGATGCAACGTGCTTTGGCTGACAGTAATGGATTGTGATATGGAGCTGTGGTAATTGTTGGATGTGGGGGTGGTTTTTTGGTGAAAGGTTGAAGAAATACTCTTGGGGTTACCAGTTGTTGCTATAGTGATTCCAGTGTTTTTTGTAGCTGTGGTGCTATGGTGACTAATGGGTGTAGTGGAGGTGTGATGGTCAGTGTATGTGGCTGTAGTGTTGTGGTGACTAAGGGGTGTAGTGGAGGTGCGATGGTCACTGGGTATGGCTGTAGTGTTGTGGTGACTAAGGGGTGTGGTGGAGGTGCGATGGTCAGTGGGTATGGCTGTAGTGTTGTGGTGACTAAGGGGTGTGGTGGAGGTGCGATGGTCAGTGGGTATGGCTGTAGTGTTGTACTGACTAAGGGGTGTGGTGGAGGTGCGATGGTCACTGGGTATGGCTGTAGTATTGTGGTGACTAAGGGGTGTGGTGGAGGTGCGATGGTCAGTGGGTATGGCTGTAGTGTTGTGCTGACTAAGGGGTGTGGTGGAGGTGTGATGGTCAGTGGGTATGGCTGTAGTGTTGTGGTGACTAAGGGGTGTGGTGGAGGTGTGATGGTCAGTGGGTATGGCTGTAGTGTTGTGCTGACTAAGGGGTGTGGTGGAGGTGTGATGGTCAGTGGGTATGGCTGTAGTGTTGTGGTGACTAAGGGGTGTGGTGGAGGTGTGATGGTCAGTGGGTATGGCTGTAGTGTTGTGGTGACTAAGGGGTGTGGTGGAGGTGTGATGGTCAGTGGGTATGGCTGTAGTGTTGTGCTGACTAAGGGGTGTGGTGGAGGTGTGATGGTCAGTGGGTATGGCTGTAGTGTTGTGGTGACTAAGGGGTGTGGTGGAGGTGTGATGGTCACTGGGTATGGCTGTAGTGTTGTGCTGACTAAGGGGTGAGGTGGAGGTGTGATGGTCAGTGGGTATGGCTGTAGTGTTGTGGTGACTAAGGGGTGTGGTGGAGGTGTGATGGTCAGTGGGTATGGCTGTAGTGTTGTGGTGACTAAGGGGTGTGGTGGAGGTGTGATGGTCAGTGGGTATGGCTGTAGTGTTGTGGTGACTAAGGGGTGTGGTGGAGGTGTGATGGTCAGTGGGTATGGCTGTAGTGTTGTGGTGACTAAGGGTGTGGTGGAGGTGTGATGGTCAGTGGGTATGGCTGTAGTGTTGTGGTGACTAAGGGGTGTGGTGGAGGTGTGATGGTCACTGGGTATGGCTGTAGTGTTGTGCTGACTAAGGGGTGAGGTGGAGGTGTGATGGTCAGTGGGTATGGCTGTAGTGTTGTGGTGACTAAGGGGTGTGGTGGAGGTGTGATGGTCAGTGGGTATGGCTGTAGTGTTGTGGTGACTAAGGGGTGTGGTGGAGGTGTGATGGTCAGTGGGTATGGCTGTAGTGTTGTGGTGACTAAGGGGTGTGGTGGAGGTGTGATGGTCAGTGGGTATGGCTGTAGTGTTGTGGTGACTAAGGGTGTGGTGGAGGTGTGATGGTCAGTGGGTATGGCTGTAGTGTTGTGGTGACTAAGGGGTGTGGTGGAGGTGTGATGGTCAGTGGGTATGGCTGTAGTGTTGTGGTGACTAAGGGTGTGGTGGAGGTGTGATGGTCACTGGGTATGGCTGTAGTGTTTGGTGACTAAGGGTGTGGTGGAGGTGTGATGGTCAGTGGGTATGGCTGTAGTGTTGTGGTGACTAAGGGGTGTGGTGGAGGTGTGATGGTCACTGGGTGCGGATGTGGTAGATATGCTGCTGTCTGTGTGAGCTATGGTCATGGTACTGTGATAGCCATTAGTTTCAGTTTCACTGACAGCACTTATGGGTCTGTGTGTGCTAGATGAAGCTGTGGTGCTGGGGATAATGGTTGTTTTCCTGTCATTCTCTGTATTTTCATTGCTGATGTTTGTGTCCAGAGCTGTTGTTGTAGCTAACTCAGGCTTGATAGTTGTGCCAAAGGTGCTGTTGCTGATAGCTATAAGAAGTTAGAGACACTAGGTTAGTCTGATGCCCAAGAGACCCAGAGAGATTTAGGTAGAAAGTAAAAGGAAGAAATTTTAGGAAGGGGGTGGGTGGAGAAAGCCCAAAGACACCAGATACTCCACCTTCCTTGAATCCATTGCAGGCCTGTAACTCCCCTCCATGTTTCTGCTTCTAGTTTTCTTCCATTGTTGCTCTGCTCATACACACACACACAAACACACACTTCCATATTTGGAACACTTCTCCTACCCTCTCACCCCCAGAAAACATTCTAGGTAAATTTAGCAGGACTCCTCACTGCCCGCTGCCTTGTCCTTTCCGCAGGACTTCCTCTCAGTCCCAGGTCGCTATGACCCCTTCTCCTTCCTTCACTTTGACCCCAGCTTAGAACCTCCCAACTCACCCTCACACCAGATTCCCTCCCCCATTAGCTCACTCTGCCAGAGGTAAAAACTAGCCCAGAGGCCATAAAAAATGGTATGAATCAAGCCACCCCTTCCCCTTCTCCTTTTTTCCTGCCCTCACCTGTAGGTACCAGGAACAATACAAGAACCAGGGTGGGTTGGATGCCCGGGGTCATGGTGGTAACCAACGGAAGAGAGCACTGAGCAGGCTGGGCCAGGTTCTGCCCAAAAGGCTGGGTCGGGCTCAGGAGCCCGCTGCTTTATACCGGTCCTCCGCCTGAGGCTCCGACAGCCAGAGCAGGCGACAGGTGACACAACCCCGCCCCCCAATCCCTCCTCCCTTCTATTTTTCCTTCTTCTCCTCCCCACACATTCCTCTGACCCCTCGGGTACACTGGGCTCCAGATCACTCAACCCTCTGACAACCTGTTTGTTTTCCACCTGGCGTCACCCCCATCTCCCCTCCCTTCCCCCACATAGAGGGGAGCCAGGCTACCTATAACCCCAGACCTTCTTTCCGGACCCTGAGGCAGTGCCTGGGGTGGGAACGGAGATGAAATGTGTTAGGTTAATACCTCTGGAACCACTAGGGTCCAGGGCCGCGGACGCTACATCACCTTCCAGCCGCTAGCGTCCCTGACTTCCTGGACTCAGATTCATTTAGAACCCCTCTCAGGTCATCCCTTGTTGGGCCCCCAGCAGAAAGATAGATTGAGTTTGGAATAGCAACCCCCATTTCCCGAAACAGCCCCACCCAATGCCAGCCCCTCCCTGTTCGTTCTGCACTGTAGATCTGACCCGACAGTCCCCGCCCCAGGGTGGCTTTTTCTGTATGCCTGGGTGCCTTCTGAGTTTTCTCACGAGTGCTTGGGGGCGGGGGGGGGGTGGGAGAGGTAAAGAAGTGGGGAGGAAGGAGGAAGTAAGAAGAAAGGAGAGTAAGATCTTTGGGGTCCTTCCAGCCCCATCCTCCAACTCTGCACGCATCAGAGGTAATAGGGCTATTCTGCCCCCTGGTGGTCATTTGGAGCCCTTCAAGGATTAGGGATGCGGTTGATGGTAGCCAGGTGGAGGGGAAGGGTGGAGACCTGATGAGTGAAGTGGGACGGTGGAGACGTAGTTGAAGAACAACCCGGGCATGGGAGAAGTACCTAAAGGAACACAAACCAACTCTGGATTTAGAGGCTAGAGAGCCCTGAGTGTAGATCCGTACGTAGTTACTACCTATAGGATCCTGCATGAGTCACTTCGTCTCTGAGATTCAACTTCCTTTTTTATAAAATAGGGCACGACAATCCTTGTGTTACCTAATTCGTGGGTTTGTTTTAAAAAGCAAATAAGATAATGTGTATGTAAGAGAGGTTTATTAAGGAAACCCTATAAATTATGATATCAGCATCAGCTATTGCTAGAATGATTTTAGCTTTCCGCTTCCTCCTTTGTGAAGGAGGAAGGAAAAAACCGAATTTCGAGCAGGAAAGGATCTCAGAAGCTATCTAGTGGGAAGGCAAAGGGAGAAAATAAGCATTTCTACAGCACCTACAATATGCCAGACACTGTGCTAAGCATTTTTCTTAAAAACAAACAAAAACCAACAAATTTCTCATTTGATACAACCCTGCTAGGTACCCAGAAAAAAAAACCGAATTGTTCACACAGGTAGTAACGAGCAGAGAACCAGGACCGGTATGATGCTTCCACCTTTGTCTTATTCCCCTTACAAGCATGTATGATGAGACTTAATCAAACACCAAGCAGTTATTAAAAACCAGCTCTGTGCCAGGCACAGGGCTAGATGCTGGAAATACAGTAACAAAAGCAGATAGCCCCTGACCTGAAAGAGCTTCCATTCTTATTCAAGAATTGACGTATCACAGAATCACAGAATTTTAGAACTGGGAAAGCTCTCGGAAGCTCTCAGTCCAACCAATTCCTGAAAGGATTCTTCTCTATAACATACAGAAACAGTAGCTGTCCAGCCTCCACTCCCAGGTGTCCAGGGGGAGGAGGTGAGGAACAACCCATAATCTCTTCAGGCTATTCATTCCCCTTTTGGACAGTTCTAATTGTTAGGAAGATTTTCTCGACCTCCAGCCTAAATTGTCTCCTTTACACATTTCATTCATTGGAATGGCACCTAATTCTTCCCCTGGGGTCAAAAAATAACAAATCTAATCTTCCTGGCACGAGAATATTTACATATACCCCAGTAGATAAATAGCCAAAGTATGTAAACAGACAGTTCTCAAGGAAAGAAATGATAGCTCTCTACCATCATATGGAAAAATTATCTAAATGATAAGAGAAATACAAATTAAAACAACTCTGAGGTTTCACCTCACACTCATCAGATGGAAAAAAGAGGATAAATGAGGAAAATTCTTAAGGGAATGTTAGAAGACAGGCATACTAATTGGTGGAGCTGTCAATTGGTCCAACCATTCTGGAAAACAACTTGGAACTATATCCCCAAAGTCACTAAACTGTGTATACTCTTTGACCCACAACACCACTAATGGGACTATACCCCAAGGAAATCAAAGAAATGAAATGAATCATATATACAAAAATATTTATAGAAATGCTTTTT